TATGAAATGATATAAATATATACATTTTCTGCCCCATATCTTGAATTATGTGATAATTCTAAATGCATTTTAATAGACTGATTCATGCAGTGAAAGAACGCACTCTAAATGCGCACTAGTCTAACCTGCTAGACTTCTTCACCTAATGTATGCGTGCACTCTGTAGGTGTTTTGTGATTGCTTTTCGTGATATACTCATAATATCAACGCACATTGTTAAAACAACAATTACGATATTAATCGCAGACCATACATATCGCACACCCCTATGTTTAGATTTTTATAATGCATTGTCTTCTTATCGATCCGCCAGTTCACATTTAAAGCTCTGCATGTTTGCAGGATAAAAACATGGGTCGATTTTCACATTGGTCTGAACTCTGAACAAAACAATAGTTTTATTGAAAATGCTCATTCATTCTCTGCCAGCAGGTGGAGCGTTTGGTAGAAAAATAACCGTTTCCCCGGTAACAGCAGAACACAAAGCAGCGCAGCACCTGGTGTTTATTCAATGAAATCATAATGTTAGCCTTTTGAAGTTTAATCGTCACATTCAGCCATATCACAATTCTGGTCTTTCCGTCTCCAAATTTAAGACCTCTTGAAATCATAATTAAGACTTGTACAATTTAAGACTTTAAGGCCTTAAATTTGAAACCACTAAATTTAAGACTTTTTAAGACCCGCTGAAACCCTGTTTAAAGAGGGCCAGGTGAGCCAAAGCCACCTACAAGAAGAGCTGAAACACATGCAGTGAGGCACAAAAGATTACACAGAGAAGTTAAGGTTCTGCACTATTTATAGATCACTAATTAAATAAGCAAATTTGTGTCATTTATTATGTGACTTTATCTTTGTACAAAAGATCCAGTTTCACTAACATGTGGAGTTCTGTGTTCTGCTGTCATTAAAACAAATACTTTAAATATAAATATTAATCTGAAACAGCTTCTTTTTTTTTTTTTCAAAATACAAAAGACAATTCAAAAGACAATTATACAGACAATTCAAAATACAGACATTTTTAAGAGTGGTCTCAGACTTTTGGACCCCACTTGCAATGCAAATAATAACAAGTGAAAATCAGCTTTGCCAACACAGAAAAAAATGTACATTCAAAAATTCATTAATATTTTGTGATCAAATAAATGCAGCCCCAGGAAAACACTTCAATCAAAAACAGTTTTTTTACAACTTTTACACACCGCAAATTTAAACGGTAGTGTATATTTTTAAAGAATGCTATATTTTGCGTGCGTAAAGAGCAACCCCTGAATTTATCAACATACTAAACATCTCACAAAGGCTCACCAAGTCTGACTCATTTAGCAGATGTCTGGCTTTAAAAGATCATAGTGGAAAATAATATCACTTGGTCTGTGGTTTAAACAACCGTGATGAAAAAGGAAATGTGTGCTATCTCTCAGTTCATAAAACACTTGCCACAGCCTCCTCTCTGTCTCTAGTTCTCTTTTATTCTCGCTTTTATCATATAGACCTAAAAGGTGTAATTATAAGCTATCTCACACTTGGTACAATAATTTAGGGTCACAGACCCACTTATTTGTATGAGGCCATTTCTAATACACGCACACACATTCACAGTTAGTGGAAGTACATTACTTGGTACAGATAATTGCACATAATCTTCTCATGTGTAGGATGATATTATTTCCTCAGCTCACATCTATACCGTAAAACAACACATAATCCAATCTAAGGTCGCGCTAAACTCACTCTGTCATTTCCTCATGTGTCAGCTGACATCTCAAAGGTTTTTTTCCTGAGCCGATTAAATTATCTTCTAAATCTAATTAGTGTCTTTTTATAAAAGCTCTAAAAATCACACACTCTGACTAACTCTCAAGGGAAATGGGGTGTTGTGAAGCGTGGATCTGTTTGAAACCTCAAGTAAAACGGAGCCTGAGGTTTGAAGAAAGCAGAAAGAAAAACGGACTAAAAGACAACAGAAAGGGTTGGTCTGCTGATCAGCAATGAGCAATCAGTGGAAATATGATTACTCTTGCGATACATTTAATCTCATGTGACCACAGACATTCCATTTCCACTAACTTAGAATCAGTAAAAGTTATTCAGCGATGGATAAATGAAACAATACCAATGAAGCAGAGCAACATTTCACTACAATTGTATAGACGTGCTTCCCTTACACCTCACAAGAAAAACCATGACAAGACACAAGAACAGAGAAGTCACGCGTCAGAGATGAGGGAAATTATGCAAATTATGCAGACTGTTCAAAGTACAGGAAGCCTTTGGTGATCAGCGCTCCACGATGCGTATCTGACAGTCTATCAGCGCATTATAAGCAAACTAACAACAAACATTTGAATTTATGTTCATTGCAGATGCACCAAAGTTATGTATAATAGAGATCCTTCACCATTTGCGGCAAAGTATGAAGTAAAAACGATAATATTTCAAAATATTATTACAATTCAAAATAAGAGTTTTCTATTTTAATATATTTCACAATTTTATTTATTCCTCTGATGGCAAAAAGCTGAATTTTTAGCAGCCATTGCTCCAGTTCTCAGTGTCAAATGATCCTTCAGAAATCATTCTAATTTGCCGATGTGTGCTAAAGAAACAGGTTACACTTTATTTCGATAGTCCACTTTAGACATTCTATTAACTATAAGTAACTTTGTAACTACATGTCAACTACATGTCAACTAATTCTCATTAATTTGCAACTAGATGTCTACTAACTCTCAGAGTAGACTGTTAGGGTAGGTTTAGGGTTAGTAGAATAAGTTGACAAAGAAAGTGTTAGAAGATAGTCTTAAGTGTTAAGCAGACAGTCTACTAATACTCTACTAACTGCTAGTTGACATGTAGTTGCAAAGTTACTTACTGTTAATAGAATGTCTAAAGTGGACTATCAAAATAAAGTGTAACCTTACATTATGCCTACTTACCAAATCAAAAATATTGGCATGAATTATTCGATTGAATTGTACTTGTAGAGACTGCAGAGACACAAAACAAAATACAGGTTTTCAGAATGAGTGGCTTGTTATAAAATGTGTTGTCCTTGACGTTGGCTATTATTGGTCATTATTTAGAAATATCTGACCACTCAGAGCTGCGACTAATGCATTCCAGATAAGTTCATAAAACAAAGGGTCATAAATTAGCAGAATTGATAACTATATACCTTTAATTGAATTATTGAATTGACCTTTTTATTCAGCAAGGATGCATTCAAAAATGTTAATTAACCTGGTGTTTATTCAATGAAATCATAATGTTAGCCTTTTGAAGTTTAATCGTCACATTCAGCCATATCACAATTCTGGTCTTTCCGTCTCCAAATTTAAGACCTCTTGAAATCATAATTAAGACTTGTACAATTTAAGACTTTAAGGCCTTAAATTTGAAACCACTAAATTTAAGACTTTTTAAGACCCCGCGGAAACCCTGTGTAAATAAAGTATTAAAAGTGCAAAAATAAATAAATAAACACTTTTGTAACATTAACCGTCTATACGGTCACCATCAAATGAAATGTGCCCTTGCTGAATTAATATAATAATTAGGGCTGGTAAGCTATTAAATTAAAAGCGATTGAGCTGGTAATCAAATTTGGAGAAATTACTCCCAAAAGATCATTTAAAGTCATTGTTGTGTAAAGCATCGAACAGACATTACAAAAAGTAGTTTTAGCAAAAAATATTTAGTTTGCTAAAATGTATTACATATACTCTTTTGGACCCATGAGGGTGAGTAAATGACACAATTGTCATTTTTGGTTGGGTGAACTATAACTTTAATAATTTTATTAAATTTATTATTATTACTATGGAAATTTGAAATTATTTATTTAATGAAATAATACTCTAAATAATAAACTAAAACTGCCAGTAGGTGGTGGTAAATGTCTTAATGATTAAGTCATCGAGTCATATTAATTCATTTGATTTGTTCAAATGCTGATTCATTCAGGAGTGTAGTAAATGGTTCTTTATGAATGGTCCATTAAATCATTAGGCTTGTTCGACTTGAAGCGGATCATCACCATCAGACCGATCGGTGTGTGACAAAGTACCGCAAGAGCTATAGAGAGCAGATGGCTCCTTGTGCTTTTGAATCGCTCTCGCCGTACTTTGATGTCATACACCGATCGATCTGTGCAGCGCCGCTTCAAATCCAACGCGCCTATGGCCAATGGTTCAAGGCGCCAAATGGTTCACCCAATTCATTCAAATTCATTCATTAAGAAATATAATATTGCTGCGTGTTGCTCGGAGACGAACAATTCTGCTTTGTCTTTATATTTTGGTTGGCAAAATTGAGCAAAACAGACAACATTGTGTCTAAAATGTTAACGGCGTATTATTGTGCCATCTCAAAGAGGCACGAAATCACTTTCACAGACTTTTTCCATTAACTGTTCCCTCCTGGTGGAATGACCTGCCCAAATCAATCAGAGCAGCTGAGACCTTAACCATCTTCAAGAAACGACTAAACACATCTGTTCCACCTTTATTTGACCCTCTAACTCTAACACTCTCTATTCTATTTTAATTCTACTTTATCTATATTTATCTATTTTTATAAAAAAAAAACAAACAAAAAAAACAAACAAACACTAGCTTTCTATTTTTTCTATTCTATCTACTTGTTTTTCTTTGTGTGTGTGTGTGTGTGTGTGTGTGTATATATATATACATACATACACACATACATACATACATACACACAGGTACATCTCAAAAAATTTGAATATCATGAAAAAGGTCAATATTTTGTCACTCATTTCAGCTGCCCCATATCTTGAATTTTAGGGACGTTCCAACTACGTTCTCTAGGCTCCATCACGCAGTGAGCTGTTGCCCTGCCTCATATTTGTCATCAATCAACTGTATGGAATGTCAGATGACCCACATATAGGTCTGGGGCGGGGCAAGTGCGTTAAAGGGTTAGTTCACCCAAAAATGAAAATTCTGTCATTAATTACTTACCCTCATGTTGTTCCAAACCCGTAAGACCTTCGTTCATCTTCGGAACACAATTTAAGATATTTTTGATGAAATCTGAGGGCTCTCTGACCCTCCCATAGACAGCAAGTTAACTACCATGTTCAAGGTCCAGAAAAGTACCAAGATGATCGACTTGATGATCGATCAAGTAGTCCGTGTGACATCAGTGGTTCAACTGTAAAGTTACGAAGCTACGAGAATACTTTTTTGCACCAAGAAAACAAAAATAACGACTTTATTCGATGACATCATTACGTCGGATCTGGGTCAGCGCTGCCACACGCTCGCGTCATGATACTGTCGTGAACGCGCATCCACAAGTGACACAGTAGAGACGAAAATGTGGAATAAAGTCGTTATTTTTGTTTTCTCAGATTTCATCAAAA